CTAATATTACGAATTTTAGACGGTAATTGATTAAATAATTGCACACCCTCATACTTAATAGACTTCTTAAAATAATTTGTACGCGGCTTCGGCAAGATAAATATATATATAATAAATATATGTTATATACATCTTCTTTATCAGAAGAAATAAAGTTCTCAGAGGCAAATGGTATCGATTTAAAGAGACTGAGCTAGTTACATTTTATGAATGTGGTTTAGGTTTTATCTCGACACCTTTGTGTTGGCTTTCGCCGGGATATTCCGGCCCCTGGATATATATTATGGTCGTCAAGATGGTGTGGTGCCGCTCAGAGGTCGACCGGAGAATTGTTTATCTATCGTAGGCGTTAACGTTTACCTCCGTATAAAATTATCTTTATAACTTAATTTTTGTCATTGCAAATATAGCTGTATCAGACAATAAAGTCTATATCATATATAAAATGCTATACATTTTCCTTAATTTGATCAATATGAGTAATCATTAAAAAAGCAACTCTAATAGGCTACAGTAAATATTAATGTATAAGCATTATAAAAATGAAGAGAGCGTGCATAATGGTATTTTAAAGGTGTGCGGAGCGGAGTCGTGCAGCTTCTCTCTCAAATAGCTCGAGATGAAAGTTAATTCGGCGCGCGTGTTGTGTTTCGATGAATATTGCATCAGCTCGGCTCCTCTTTGCGATGCATACACGCTGCACTTCGCATCGCTTGCACCTACTGACTGACTCTCTTCACTCGTCCCTCTAACTATTGAAGGCCCTTACTTCTTTACATTTTAAAATCGCTATCGAAAAGTATTTGTTTTTATGTTTACAAATATATATCATTCTCACATAAGTCTATAATGTACGTTTCTCTCGCACATTACTGCGCGTTCGTTCGTCCGTTAATCCTATATTTATGAAATTGTTAGGTATGTTATAGCTTGTAGGTATGAGAATAGGTCTGTTATGTTTATATTAGGGTTTTACGATGTATTCTATGAATCGAGGAAATCGCGGCGCAGAAATACTTTGAACGTATCCTTCCCACATCCCTTCACTTCTTTCTTAACAATTATTTTAGGCTCTGCGCGGCTCTGTTTCTATCACATGAGAACACTGAATCAAGAAATCTATTATATATAATAAATCTTTAAAATATTTATACCTACTTGCTTCAAGTTATATAGTTGTATACTATGTTATCATTGTGGTTGAATATGCAATATACATGCCTGTCAGAGGCATGTTACTCGGGTAGGTTTTGGCATGCAGAACTACTCGTCTGATCAGTTATGCTCTGCGCTTTAGCTTCAAGTGAATGGTGAGCCATGAAGTGTAGCATTCCGCATTCCAAATATAATTTTATGTTTAAGTCTAAATTTTCATAGACATGTTACACTAAATACAAATTTTGCAAATTCCATGAAAAGCGAGGGATGGGCGACGGCAAGCGGCAAGAGGCGGCGCGAGGTGGGTGTTTTGTACACCCTCGTAGGCTCTACGATGACGAGAAACGGATTATAAGTTTGCCACACTTTGTGCGCCTCGAACACCTGCCCGCTACTTTCAGTCGTTTATACGCCACTTTTTAATGGCTTTGCTAAATTATGGGTTAAAAGTAGTTCTGTCGACGGCCAAGTGCTTCTGTGTTAGAAGACCGTTAATTAACGTTTCTGCCAAATTATTAATATTTACATACGGGTTTTATCAGTAATTCACAAATACCTGCAGCCTACACAGTCGGGAGCCGTGTGGTGCTCAAAGAACGGATACAGAGAAGCAATTTGAAGCATACTGTGATGGGCGGCAGCTGCACAAGGGCACAAATAAAAAAGCGCTTTTAATTAAAAGTAATGAAAGGTTTCGAGCGCTATACGTTATCAGGCCATCGGTGACTGTGATATGTGAAAGCTTTATGTCCTCCTGGAGCATTGCGTCGCCTCGGTGAGATTCTGAATTGTTTGTGATATTGAAAAAAAAACTACTTCTTCTTTTTATTTGAATGTCGTTCTTTCACAAGGGTGCTGATGGTTTTGAGTAGCAGTCAAATAATCTGTCTGCTCATTTAACGTACAAAAATCTCGATTTCCTTTAAAATATAAACCCTTGCTGGGTAAAATATTGTACGTGAATTGTGTTTTTACGGCATATAAAGTGATTAAGATAGCGAGGAAAAGGTAAAGATTGTTCTTTATAGTCAAATACGTGCGCAGTGATGAGCCGATACCGCCCTCCACCTGTTATCTCGACTCGTTTGTATATTTATGTAACATGCTAACGTAAAAAGTGTTATTTTTTAAACAGGCATTAGTATTCAATTGCTATGGATTGTTAATTTGTTAGGGTTTCTGAAACATGCCTATGGCTACCATTATTATTATTTATATTTAATGTACGCACGTTGTTCACTCGCATCAATACGTGATTTCCGTTAATTATTACCACGGTCAATAGTTGTATAGAAGATGTCAAGCAATTTGAATACCATCATTCGAATTTAAAATTACGGTTAGTTTATCGATACAACTGTTTTATACTTCTCGTATTCCATAACGATTCTCTTCAAAATTTCCCACGATGAAGTGAGTCAAACACAGAGCCGCTTGATCTGGTACTGTCTCACTTTATAAAACGATTTCCGGTGATTAACATCATGAAGATGAGTTTGTTATCTATATAAAGAGTTGATAAGTATTATAAACACGCACAACAACAGTTCGGTGACCCTTGATCATTTTCTTCAATCAATATGTACTAAACCATACCTCGAAATATCCTTCAACTGGATGAGACAAAAAAGACACACAAATGTAGTCGCGTGTGAGGTTAAGCTGAAACTATAACATATACTTAAATTAACCACAAACAGTTCACAATAAAATACTCTCCAAATAATGCATTATTGAGGGCTGTGCGTCGAACCTAGCGTTACATAAAAAGCAAGCAGTAAAAAGTTATAATAACGCGTATCTGTTACAATTTTACTACAAAGTATCTTTTTGTTTTAGGCTTTCCTTAAAAAACCTAACGTGGTTTTAATATCTCCTACTTTAAAATACCGATTACTTCCCGTAACATAAATCACCTGATTATTAATAATAATATGCTCAGGTGAAGCATAAAAGTCAATATTGGCATACCTTGTGAGCGTTTAATTTAATTGTTGGGCTGAAAATAAATTAACCTAAATTATTTTAAAAAATATAAATTAGCTGAATGTATGATGATAATTATTTATACAAAAATTACAATTAAAGTATTTTATCGACTAAGACAAAATTAGAGTTTTGTAGAGAGGATTTGGTGGTTGTTGCCATTTCAAGAAGATAGAATCACGTAGATTGTATGCACTAAAGTTTCTTATTATTCGACTTATTTCGAGATACTTAGCGATTTGGCATTGTATGGGCTGCGATGACGACGGGCAGCAGTGGGTGACCATAGTTTTCGTCAGCGAGCGGTCAAAGCGAACGGCGCCGGTCGGCGGGCTATCGAGAGCTCTCTGGCTTCGAGAGCCATTCTTGTCTTTGTTCCCGCCGTATTGTTCTTTTACTCCCTTCCACAAAAGGTAACCTACATACCGACGCGCACTTCCGAGACCAGCGCATTTTTACATATTTTAAACTACTTAAGTGCTTTTTGTTACAAATTTGTTGAAAGCAGAACAGAACAGATGTTTTGACCCTTAGTGGAGTAGCGTTGTAGCGAACTGGAATCTCTAACATAATATTACATCTACTTTTGCTATAGTAAATGCCCAGACTGAAGAAGTTAAAATCAAGTGGAGGTCATTAGGACATTAGGGGCTGTCAGTTCTAATTCAGGTCATTAAGGCCGCGCCACTTCATCAGTTTATTCCTCCGCTAGAGACAGATTTTCAAATGTTTCTTGACGGGCACGGTAGAATGTAACGTCTTGAGTGTAGCATTTCACTTTTTATTATTGACTCTGATATCTCGCTGGTTTGCGAAGACATAGAGCAGATCTCTAGTATTTATGGTAAGTCGAGCCTTTTGACAGCGAATCTGTTTTCATGTTTTATTGGATCCACTTGATTCTGCCTCGACGTTTTTTTGACAAAGTGATTGATTTGACTAACAAGTGTTGGAAATTTAAATAAATTAAATAAAAATAAAGAATGTCAGGTAAAAGCGACTTCGTAACAGTTTACATATATATTTATATTTGTTTTAAACTATAGTTACTCCCACATAAGTAACAAATGCAATATGACAAAAATTTATAGATTACAGTAAAAAAATAAAATAAAAAAATAGGGCTCGATGCTTATTAAATCGCTCAGCATAAAGCGAGGAGAATTCCAATCTGCTAGTGCATGACACTCGGCGAAGGCATTCTCTAATGAACCGGAATGAATCATTCAATGACACCGACCACCAACTCTGGACCCCGCCGTCAAATGCGGCGCTTTAACGTGTAGGCCACTAAGAATTGGTCGTATCTACCTCTTCGTGGTAATTCTATTCCTTTAACCTAGCTTCACATTAGCACCTGCCGACTTGATCGGCCCTCACTTGTGTTCATTTCGATATCACCCATGGGTTCACCATTGCTAGGCTAAAATTGGACAAATTGGAAATTGGCGGTAATTTAATAAATAAGTTAATTATTCTACGATCGATTCTATAAAAACAATGACCAAAATATAGAACGCCCATGTCGATGACTTACGTCGCATGAACTAAAAAAAATATTTAGCTATATAAAACTAAATTATAACAACACATGCGTTTCGAGCGATGACATACTTTGGCTTTTGCAAATGTTTATTTTTCGGGACTATATTACGACGGTTTCAGGTACGATGCTAAAAAAGTGATTTCTGCAACGCTTGCTACGTTGCAAAATTTACATAGAAAATTAAAACAAAGTTTCTACCTTTTCTCTAAATATATGGAACTTATGTCAGAGCTGTGCATCTATCATATTATTCAGAGGATTACGCACATATGAGTCCATAGCAATAGTTATACTTTATATAAGAGTACAGTTACGATTTAAGAGCCGTACCAGCAGTGAAAGTGAGTGTTGCCAGTGACGGCGCTCGGCATGTGGGTTCACCGTGTCCAGGCGGAGGTGTGTTGCGCGACTGGATATGCGCGGCTATAGCCGGGCGGTGAAGGGCGGGCGGGTGCGAGGCGGCGGCAGTCGCCCGGAGCGAGCAGTGGTCGTCTCTCGTCCCTACTTCTGTCGCGCTGAACATGCACTGACACGCGACGCGTTACGCTCTGTGACTGTGACTCAGTGACTGAAATCCTAGGATTATGCTGTTCCTGTGACGCCGTTCGCTACTCTACACCACAAAACGTCAGGGTTAGTAATAAGTAGAATTGACTTATTGCCCGCCGCGGCTCGTCTGGATGATATCTTCACTTATTGTAATTAGATTTATTAGATCTAAACTAAAATATATTTTATTATTACATACTCTTATGATAGTTCAAACATTTAATTTCGGTACGTTGGTATATTTTAGAAGAACTGTATTTCATTGAAATATTAATCTTTCAAGACACAACCATTAATTACTTGTGCGCTAAAGGCATAAGACAAATCTCTTCGTGAATCAATTGCCTTGCAGGTTTCTCACAATTCACGGGCATAGAGATGGACACTGACGTGCAATTTTAAATTGATTATTTAAGTTCAATAGGATCGTTACTTTTTTATACTGTTTTCAGTAATCTTTTGGTTATGATTATAAAAAATTAAATTGATGAGCGCGTCTCTCAACACTAAGGTCGTTCGTTTAAAGCCTGTGCGTGCACTAAGGATTTACTTTCTATTGAACAATTAATGCTGGCATTATAATAATAATAATTTATTTGCTAGAATATGGTACAAAAATGTTAAGGTGGTACAATCTAAAGATCACTTATTCTGCCACACAAATGCAAATTTGTCCTTAAAGTAATTTAACATAGTTACATATTACATTATCAATCATATCATTATAGTAAATTCTTATATTATTTTATCACTACATTATTACATATGACGGCTCATTGGTCTAGTGGTTAGTACCCCTGACTGCGGATCCATGGGTCCCGGGTTCGATCCCCGGCTGAGACAAACATCGATGTGATGAGCATTTGGTGTTGTGCTTAGGTCTTGGGTGTTTAAATATGTATTTATATGTCTATCTATCTATAATATGTATGTATATCCGTTGCCTAGTACCCATAACACAAGCTTCACCAGCTTAGCATGGGACTAGGTCAATTGGTGTGAATTGTCCAATCTAAAAAAAAAAAAAAAAAATTTATTAAATAATTATTATAACGTTGTCTAATTAATATTAGTTATATTGAGTGACACAAAAGATAATTAATAGAATAATATTTTTTTCCAAAAGTAGTATACGTAGATTTTTAAAAAGTCTAGTAGGAAGATCTTCTAAAATTATTATAAACCTTAATTGCTATACAAAAGGTTTGATGAAGGTAACATCGTAAGGAAGCCGGCACGTCTGAAAAGCTGTTTGTTAGACACAAATGTCTGCATAATTTAATCCATGATTGGAAGGACCAATTACTTTTGTGGGCCAAGTTATGTAGGTTAAAGTCAGTTACGTCACGTTTTTATTAATCTTTGTTTATTTACCTATTATCTTTAACATTTGCGACTATGGCCTAAGACAAATGGCAACTTAAATTGTTGACAATTATTATTTTGACAAACACTATCGATTGTAAGAAGGTTATTCATTTTTACTTACTTTACAGCTCCTTACAAACATTGGTAAAACAAATAACTTGGCGATTAAAAAGAGTGGCGGAGAGTTTATTGCCAGTTCTTCTCTTCCGTTCCGTACGCCCTTGATTTGAGAATTGAGAGTAAATGTAAAATTAGAAGCATTTAATACGTATTTCTTTTTTGACGTTCATAAGTGTACGTTGTGTTACCTATATGAATAAATGATTTTGATTTGATTTGACACATGTGTTTGTCACTTCTTTTTATCTGCCATCGCAACCAAAACCATGCAATTCTGAAATGTCATGGCAAATATGCTCGCTGTACTTCAATAGCTGGGCAGCTTCATCAAGATACAGTGTGCGTCATCCTACTGAACCCTGATAGAGCTATATTTCCTCTTCTAATTCATACTAACGTTTATTTAGAAAATTTGCTCGCGGGCAAGTTTGGTCCGTTGTTTCGGTTCTTTACCGGTCCGAAAGTCTCGAATCTTAAAAGTAATCGATCGTTTTCGCCTATTCAAGCTAAAGCAATCGACAGACTTCTGAAAACTATATTTTCAATGACTTCGATGGCTGCATTTAAAGCCTTTACTTTCCATGTTGTTAGGCAGTGTTTTTCTCGTTCGTCGTGTCGCGGTCGAAGATGGGCTCACAAATGTTTAAGAGTTAATAGATACAATTAACAGATAATACAATTTTTAGTAAAATCCGAATGGACCAAGCTTGGAATTATTTGTATAAATGATATACGAGAAGTATCTATAGGCAAACCTCATTAGAGAAAAGAAAGAAAGGAAAAGAAAGGATCTTAAGTCGAATTGGTTCGGAAATACCTCGCTTCCACAAAGTGGTATAAAAAGTAAATAAAAGTTTTCGAATTTTAAACTTTGGGTTATATATACATACGAGTACAACAGTCGGAGATAGATTAGGTCCTTTCTTCTAGTAATTGATATAACTTATGTTACGCAGGGATGATTTAGCATTGTAATAGTAAAAGGATATTTTGAATTGGTCCAGTAGTTTTTGAGTTTATTCGTTACAAACATGCAAACATACCAATTTTTGCTCTAATTGTAGTGAGAAATAAAATTACCGATGTCTTTGTATAGTGTTAAATTTCAAATCAGGCATAGAGTGAGCGGGGCGGTGAGCGGCGGGGCGCGGCGGGCGCGGCGCGGTGATGCGCTGACGCCATGCGCGACGCGGGATGCGCGCGCGCCTGCTGCTGGCGGCGCTGCTGCTCGCGGCGTGCGCAGGGTGCGCGGGCAACCCGGACGCCAAGCGACTGTACGACGACCTGCTCAGCAATTACAACAAACTCGTGCGGCCCGTCCTCAACGTCAGCGACGCTCTCACCGTGCGCATCAAGCTCAAGCTCAGCCAGCTCATCGACGTGGTATGTATCGACCGTCGTCTGGGCTTTTCCTTCCCGTCTCATCTGCACCTTACCAATCGGCATTCTGTTTTGTTTCAGAATCTCAAAAATCAGATCATGACAACAAATTTATGGGTCGAACAGGTAAAAACATTATTTAAAATATAAAGTTCTATGAAAATGTTCCTTAATATTCGCCGTGGTAAGTGACGTGTATGTATTTCAGAGTTGGTACGACTACAAATTGTCGTGGGAGCCGCGCGAGTACGGCGGCGTAGAGATGTTGCACGTGCCCTCGGACCACATCTGGCGCCCCGACATCGTACTCTACAACAAGTGAGTGAGCGGCATCATATGACGGAGTACAGGCGAGTATGGGGTATTTGTTTAATATTGAATTGTATGATGTATGTGCAGTGCCGATGGCAACTTCGAAGTGACGCTGGCGACGAAAGCAACGCTGAACTACACGGGTCGTGTGGAGTGGCGCCCGCCCGCCATTTACAAGTCCTCCTGTGAGATCGACGTCGAGTATTTTCCTTTTGACCAGCAAACGTGTGTTATGAAGTTTGGTTCCTGGACATACGACGGCTTTCAGGTGCTGAACTACTGTTAAATATCGTTATCTACTTCTTTTAATGACTTCCATACTTTTTTAGTCTGTACAAGACTAAAGAATATTTGAACGTTTTTGTTGCAGGTAGACTTGCGACATATCGATGAAGTAAAGGGCACAAATATTGTCGAATTAGGTGTTGATCTAAGTGAATTTTATACGTCTGTCGAATGGGATATTCTAGAAGTCCCAGCCGTGAGGTGAGACGTTCAATTATCTTTTATTTTTCACGATTTACTAATCGTAGATCGATAGCAAGATGATCCTTATGTTTCTCTTTTTAGGAACGAGAAATTTTACACGTGCTGTGACGAACCCTACCTAGACATCACGTTTAACATCACGATGCGCCGTAAAACACTTTTCTACACTGTGAACCTCATCATCCCCTGTATGGGCATTTCGTTCCTGACAGTGTTGGTGTTCTATCTGCCTTCTGACAGCGGGGAGAAAGTGTCGCTTTCGATATCCATCCTGCTATCGCTGACGGTGTTCTTCCTGCTGCTGGCCGAAATAATCCCGCCTACTTCACTCGTGGTGCCACTGCTCGGCAAGTTCGTGCTCTTCACCATGATCTTAGACACGTTCAGGTAGGCGATCGGTCACACGTACTCAGAGTGAGTAAGTGAGCGAGTGATTGATCAGTTTTGATTTAGAGTATGAGGTTCGATGTTATTCTGCAGCATCTGCGTGACGGTAGTGGTCCTCAATGTGCACTTCCGGTCACCGCAAACACACACGATGGCGCCGTGGGTGCGCCGCGTTTTTATTCACGTGCTGCCACGGCTGCTGGTCATGCGGCGCCCGCACTGCCGCCTCGATCCACACCGCAGCCGCTTGTGAGTGACCCACACATTTCCGAATACAACGTAAAGTGTTATATTTCTTATAATTCGACGACAAAAGCTGAGCAAAGGCCTTTATCTAAACCACCATAATTTAACACAAATGTTTTATTTGATAAGTTAATTTAAGAATCGGAGAGATTTCTAATTCTTCGGGTAATTCACATTAACTACCAGTTTTTAAAGCAAGGACGTAGGAAGATCTGGTCATATAATCTACGTCATTATTTAATCGTCTAGCTTTTTGTAAAGAGCTGTAACTTAAAAAAATAAATTGAAACAAAAATTACACCTTGTTCCTTGTGATATTTGAAAGCAGTCAATTATGATATTAACTAAATAAATAAAACAATAAACGTGTAGCTTCTAGGCAGGAGTTAGGCATGGTGAAATAGGAACACGCACATTGCCTTAGAAACAACAGCCATACACTTATCAAGGTTAAAATCAATATTAATGTTATAAAGAGGTTCGGTTAGTAGGAAGTAATCTCTGGATCTACTTCGAGTTCGAACATTCTTTATATATATTTGTGAGTTTGAGTTAATATATTTCAATCTTATGTAGGAAAAAAGACTTTTTATGGTAGTCGGATTAGCAAAGTAAATTGGAGAATAAATGGTCGAACGAAAACGTTTATTACGAATGCTGCCTCAACGGTGC